CAATTACTGACTACACAAAAAGAACAGCAACTATGCCAATGTTACTTAAAATATAAAACAAAGCATCCAATTAAGCACATTTGTTGCATAAACCATTAGTTTTCCAGTGTTTAAGGGGTATTGTCAAGAAAATAAATCAAGATGCAAGATAAGTTATTTTCGAAATACATAATATAAAAAACAGTGGAAAAATGTAATATTCGGCAGGATTCTGAGTTAAAAAGACATTTACTGATATATTACATCACATCTATTCTCTATAACAAAGTAATTAACATTTATACAACATAAATTGGTTAGTGATCATTATTTAGAGCAAATCAATAATATAAAACAAAATTTTACAAAACATTTTACAAAGAATTTACAATAAAAACATTAAAGGAAATAAAACCAAACTTATTTCAAAAACAAGAAGATAAATTTGTCATTTTCACTTCCTGTTAAACAAAAAAATGTTAAATCAGTATTTACCAAGTGTTTCGCAACGTGTGCCAGTATACGAGGTTGGGCATGTGCAGGTGTATGATGTTACAAAATTGTTACATGCTCCTCCATTAAGACAAGGAGAACTGTTACATGGATTTGATGAAACTGTGGAGAAAAAATATAATCCAATTCCACTAAAGGTTTTCAATTAACATGATGATCCACCAACATCAGACTATTACATGTTCTAAATTAAGGCAAGAGTACAACTACTGACTACACAAAAAGAACAGCAACTATGCCAATGTTACTTAAAATATAAAACAAAGCATACAATTAAGAACATTTTTTGCATAAACCATTAGTTTTCCAGTGTTTAAGGGGTATTGTCAAGAAAATAAATCAAGATGCATGATAAGTTATTTTTTGAAATACGTAATATAAAAAAACAGTGGAAAACTTTAATATATGGCAGGATTCTGAGTTAAAAAGGCATTTACTGATATATTACATCACATCTATTCTCTATAACAAAGTAATTAACATTTATACAATATAAATTGGTTAGTGATAATTATTTAGAGTAAATCAATAATATAAAACAAAATTTTACAAAACATTTTACAAAGAATTTACAATAAAAACATTAAAGGAAATAAAACCAAACTTATTTCAAAAACAAGAAGATAAATTTGTCATTTTCACTTCCTGTTAAACAAAAAAATGTTAAATCAGTATTTACCAAGTGTTTCGCAACGTGTGCCAGTATACGAGGTTGGGCATGTGCAGGTGTATGATGTTACAAAATTGTTACATGCCCCTCCATTAAGACAAGGAGAACTGCTACATGGATTTGATGAAACTATGGAGAAAAAATATAATCCAATTTCACTAAAGGTTTTCAATTAACATGATGATCTACCAACATCAGACTATTACATGTTCTCAATTAAGGCAAGAGTACTACTACTGACTACCAAGTGTTTCGCAACGTGTGCCAGTATACGAACTTGGGCATGTGCAGGTGTACCTGATGGTGGTTAGTTCGTACAGCCTCTGGTTTGTCACTTTGTGATACCATTTTATATTTAATACTGTAGTTTCCTTATGAGTTTGCACTGAAATATGTCTATTTTTTCCTCTATGTACTTATCCGTTGTCCCGGTTTTCGGCATTATATAGGAAGATACTGCTAATATATGTTTCAAAAAGTTTGATTTTTTATCTCTGTCGACATTTTCTTATTTTCTAAGGCATATTTAATTTTGTTCGTATGCTACCATTGCTAAGGTCTTTCTTCTGTTGATATCTTTATTTGTCTATAGGATAGTTCCCAGATATTTACATTTATGTCAATTTGCATTTTCTCCCCTGGCGATAATGTACTCTTCTGTTTTATTACTATTGATTGTTAAGTTATACTTTTTTTAAGTATTTGGTAGGATTTCTTTTACTCTGTCAATCTGTTTTGTTTTTCGCGCAATAAAAGAAATGTCGTCTGCATATTGCATATGTAATCCACATTCTGCGAAAGTCTGAAGGTTATTTTCTCTCCAAATGAATTTTAATGCGTTGGCAAGGTAGAGCGTAAATAGTATGGGTGATAGACAATCTCCCTGTGGGATCCCAATATTTGAGGGTATGTATTCACCATTTCCTTTCCTATGCGTACTTTTAATTTTACTTCGTTTAGTAATATTTTAATCATAACAGTAGTTCATCTTGGTTTAGTATTTCTTTTAACATTTCGATTATTTCTCCTCTTTTCACCGTATCGAATGCACTACTCTTATCGAGTAGGAGAATCATGATTTGATAATCTGTTGAAGTTATTGCCTTTTCTGCTAGGACTTTGCAAGCAAAAACTTGTTCTGTTGTACTACATCCTCGTCTATATGCTGCTTGCGAGTTTGGTATACTGTCATTTATTTTATCACTTATTCTGTTGATCATGCAGATTGCTAGAATTTTTATAATTATTGTTAAGAGCGTTATTGGTCTCACGTTTTTATTCGGACCTTGTGTTTTACCTGGTTTCTGTATCGGGATTACTACACCTTCTGTTATTTCTGATGGTGCTATTCCAGTTTTCGCTATGTCGTTAAACATGTCAGCAACTAGAGTATACATTTTCAGTTGGTGCGTACTTCATCATCTCTGCGTACATTCCATCGCAGCCTGCACTTTTCTCATTCCTTAAAGCTTTTACTGCACGTTCAATTTCGTCGCACGCGAATGGTGTTTTCATTTCAACGGACGGGTGTGATATTGTCGATTTCTTTGATGTCAATTTTATTGTATATCTGCTTAAAATGTTGTGTCAATATTTCACATTGTATTTTCTCGTTTGACGTTAAGCCGTACTCACTGTCTATAAGCAATTTCTTTTTAGAATGTATTCTTAGACTTCTTATTGCTTCGAACATTTTCCTTGAATTATTCTTGCACTTTTCCATTTCTTTAACTTTTGTCTCTATATTTTCTTCCTTTTCCTGATTTAATTTGTTATGGAGTTTCTTTAGCGTTTGATTTCTTCTTATGCGAAGTAGTTCCCTTTTGTTTTTGTCTTGATTGGCATTAATATCAGCTCAGTTTCTTTTGTTTATTGGATAGTCTTACGATGTCTTCATTTTGCGATTTATTTTTCTTGTCTTTAAATCCTACCACTTCAATTGCTGCCTCTTTGCATGTACTTACTATTTTGTTCCATTTTGTTTGTATTGTTGACTCTGGTATTATGTTTAGTTTTTCATTAACTTTGTTCCGGTATACTTTATTTGTCTTTATCTATCTTTAAATTTCGCTAAGTTTAGCGCTGATTCCTTTTTTTTCTTTGAATATGCTTTAAACCATTGAAGTTCTAGTTTAGTTTTGACGATTCTGATCAGTGTTTATGGTAATACCACTGTATGATCGCGAATCATAAACAAGAGACATGCGACATATTTTAATCATTATAATCCACTTGATTGCGATACCATGGGTTCCGTCTTATTTCGCCTCCTTTATCCTTATGTACCGTTTTTCTTTCTGGTTTTACCCATGTCGTTCTATGTGCCATCTTGTGTTTAAAAACAGTGTTTGTTATGACTAGATCATTACGTAATGCAAATTCCAACAAGTGAACACCATTATGATTTACGTCTCCTTTACCATATCTACCCATGCAAGATGGATAATCTATATGTCCCTTCCCGGTTTTGGCATTTAGATCTCCCGCAAATATTTCACATATTGAACTGATTGTATCCTCTAGTTGTTCATAGAACCTGTCTCTTAATTCTGGGTTGTCCTCACTAGCTTTTAATGTAGGAGATACTGCGATAAAATGGAGGAACCTGAGTCTTGTCAATTGCTTTGCTCTCGGCTTACCCGTTTCCAATCGTATTCTAGCAGTGCAAATTCTATCAGATGTCTTTAAATTCTGCTTCTAGGTTGCTGTTAATATTCCGATTCCATGATATCTATTATTCTGTGTTCCTGTGTAGTAGAACACATACTTGCTGTTATGGTCAGTGTTGAACTGAATTGAATAAGTCCCGATCCTTCCAGGTGGTGTTCCTGAATGGCGACGATACTTAGCTGATATCTCGCTGCGTCATTAACTAGGGCCTGGGCCTGGTTATCAAATGATGTTTTAAGTCCACATTCAAAGTAGGCCTACCGACGTTCAAATACTGTTTATTTCTTCTTAGACCCACATTGCAGGCATAATGTGTTAAATCGTTGAAAATTGACGTATTGCAAGGTTTGTTTTTTTTGTTTGGTGTTGTTTTAGTGCGCCGTCACACTGCACTTCCAGAATTTAAAATCTGTAGGTGTATGATGTTCTCATACCCCATTCAGACTAGCATCGCATTGCGATCGGTTGTAGCAATTGCGACACCCAATCGCACCCAATCGCAAAGTAAAATCGTGTGTGAAAGCTCACCAATAGTAGTCGATATGTAATCAATATCGCAATTGTAGCCCGTTGCGATTGGGTGCTACAATCTTTATTACTCCTGATTATCAACGAATCTGATCACAACGAATTCCACAGGCATGTTTGGTTGAGGTCAGGCAACATAGACCGGAGGCCTAGGCCCTAGAATGTAAATTTTGTGTTGGTCTGAATGCGTTCGTTGATTGCGATCGGGAGTAATCAGTTTTGGATTACCACCGATTACATCGCAATCGATCGCAAGAGAGTGTAGTCTGAATAGGGTAGATATGTAATCGATATCGCAATTGTTACCCGTTGCGATTGGGTACTACAATCTTTATTACTCCCGATAATCACGGAATCCGATCGCAACGAATCACAACGAATTCCGAATTCCACAGGCACTGTTTTGTTGAGGTCAGTCGATCAATATAGGCGTAGCCAAAGGAGGCCTGGCCATAGAATGTAGAGTTTGTGTTGGTCTGAACGGGTGTCGGTCAATCCGTACCCAAACAAACCCGTACCCATACCAACCCGTACCCACTTTGGTTAACCCGTACACAAGCTTTGGTCGACCCGCACCCACGTTTGGTTAACCCGTACACACGTCATTTTGATCAACCCGTACCAAAAAGATATTTGTATCTGTACGGTCTCGTGCGGTTTGTAAGATTGTCGTGGCCGATAATAAGGTTTTACACAGTTTTAATTTTCTCTGCTTCGTTACCTTTTTCTTTTCCTCTAGGCCTATTCTTTAGTGTCCTTTTTTTTCTCTTTTCTCATATTTTTCAATTATTTTTAAAAATTTTATTTTTAATTTTCTCTGGTTTTAATTTTTTTTCTTTTCTTTTAATGCATGCTCGGTAATGGTAATTATGTATTCTAACCCGTAAGCTTGGCGTTCATAATATGTATTACTATCTATAATATGATTACTATCATATATATATATATATACATATCCGTATATAATACGCGTATATACATAGACAAATGAGGGTAACAGCAAATAAGGGGTGCCTTGTTATGCAGTAGATATTAAGGTGATGTCTTGGTCTGCAATGGAAAAATTAAATGAAAGTTTGAAGATGCCAGGAATACAGTGACCTAATGATGACGAAGTTGACGATAATGATGATGACGCTGATGATAATGAGGATGAATGAAGTTATTGATGGATAATGGATGAGAATAGATGATAAATAATGATCACATTAATTAAACAATAAAATATCATTATAAATAATATATTTAATAAATCACTGAAAAATATTACCACAACAATATCCACTGGCTACGTTGTCAACACATTGTTCATCAATTTGGCAAGGAGAACTATCACATGCATTGACTGATCTTCCTAAATAATATGTTAAAATATCATTTATTGAATAAATTGTACATATATCTTGTTATAGAGCATACGAGGTTCTAATAATGCATAACAAAAGGTTAAAGACCTAAATAATTAGTGGAGCATTATTAAATCTGGTTTACTTTTAGTCAACTCTATGAGATTCAACATTATCAAAATAACGCACACAAGAGAATAAAACCACCAAACCAAAACACTATAAATTGTTCTAATTTCAATAATTATTTATATTAGAACATCTGTATACAAAGTTAAAGTTTACAAGACCATTGAACGTAATTCCAGACAACTTTTACTGTAATACAGTATTGAACACTTACAGGTCAGCAACTATATCCTATTCACCTTTTGTGGACAGATAAATTGTCCTTTTAAATCTTTTATTCGTGATTTTGTAATTTATTCATTTGATTATGATTATTGCGGCATAGCCACAATGCCTTTGTGTCTTGGTGTATCATTGGTGGATTGGAGTGGCAAAAAATCAGTCATAAGACTAGGCCTAATGCCTTGAAACAAAACGTGGCACCTAACATAATAGCAAATTATACGGTAAACCTCATCAAAATAGGTCGATTACTCGGAAATATATTTTAAATGCAATAATGACAAGATGTGTGTTATGATGTAATTTTCTTACAATATACTAAAGTAAAAACTGATAATATTAATAAAAAGTCAGGACTAGTGTCGTAAAATATTTAATTGTTTGTTTACCGTTTCACCTTGTAAATACAATCAAAGGTAAAGTAATGTTTACCTAACCTGTGCAAGCAAGTTGGCACTGTTGAATTGTTTCAAAGTTGTTACTATTGCCATCACAATAATATGCAAAAGGTAAGCAATTTCCAATTATGTGTTCGTAATAAAATCGCAATATTGGGTCTCCTGCTGAACACATTCTTGATTCAACAGGTAACATACAATCCTCTGTAAAAGGCAGAAATTAGTATAATTAAATTTCATTATTAGTGTATTTTCATACAGGCTGTGCTTAGCAAGATACCGGTACATTATTTTGATATTCTTCTAACCAGTAAAATACCATCCGTATGTTAAACAGTTTTTCAGAAAAAGTTCACATGCTTCCTAAAAGTATTATTTAAAGATTAAATTCTTGTTAAAAAAAAAAGAAAATAAATACCTTGTCCTGATGTCTTACAAAAGCTTAGTAAAACAATGAAAGCCAAAAGTAAATTATGCATAGCAGTATTTATATGTTTTCCATTAAACGTTGAAAACCTCATAAAAATATTCATAATGCTTCATATGATTCGCTGCTTTGAGATCTTCCACTGGTAAAGACCGTTCAATGAAATTAATGAAGTAATATCTATTTAAAAACAAATATATAAGTTGGGAGTTACTTTTAAAAGGTACACAACTTATGACCAGAATTGACATAAATTTATATACTCATTCATTCATTATTCAGACTTAATGCATAATACAATTGGTACATAACATAAGTCAACGATCAACAAAAACAACAAAAATCGATGTTTTAAAGTAAAGCTGGTCTGGTTGTTTGCTTTGAAGTGGAGCATAAAGCCGGGCAATCAGTGCGTGGTACGACGGTCGCACGACAAATCCAACTCCGTTCTCTGTGATCGATAGACAAAGCGACACCGTCTGCGGATTTGTCGGTGGCGTCTGAACGGATCGACATTAAAAACTATCCGTTGCGTTCTTCGCGTCGGCCGACGACCGTCGTGCGCAGTGAGTGCCCGGCTTTAGGCCAAATAACAAAAAAATTACTGTGCTGACCACGCCCGACCGACACAAAATGTATGAAATTGTGTTTCGGCATTGATTTAAAAAATGGTCTTGGTTGTATCTTCTACTTTTTGGGCATAAACACATTATTGGTACAAAAAAAAAAACAACAAAAAACCTTTACCTGTAGACCTACCAATTTCCCAAAAAGTGGCCAAACAAGCATTTTTTATTATTCCCCTTTATTAGATTCCCCCTCCCTATGTCAATAGGCAATCTACGCCACTGGATACAGTGAGCTACACTCAGAAAAAGCCAAAGTAGGTGGTCAGAAAAAAAAATTCTCTTGTGTTCTAAAATACGGCCGGAAAATGATTTATTTTTCAATGTCGTCGCACGGGTCGGATTCAAAATTTTTGGTTGAATACCAGGGCCCTAGTGGCTCTATTCCGTATCATTTAACTGCTCTAAATTATTTACATGAGATTACAGATACTTACCAGTAGTGCTTTTGAGAAACATGGCCTCATATAAGCTACAGTGCATAACGTTTTAGCAGTATGCATAAACACAATAATAATGATAAGAAAACAAACTGTGGTCTTTTGATATTGTTAAATGAACTATAATGACCCAACAGGGGATCTACAATGTAGGTACAAAAGCTCAGCAGAAGAGTGATACAAAATGGGTGTGCGGTAAAAATGGCCCCAAATGACAGGTAGGTAAATATGGCCCCAAATGACAGGTAGGTAAATATGGCCCCAACTATAAAATTAAGTACGGTAATAAAAATGACTTTCTTCTTAAATAAATTTGTTTTAACTATTTAAATGCTCTAAAATAGCAGAAACGTAATTTTCAAAACTATATTAAATAACTGAGTACACTCTATTTTTCTATAGTTACCAGTATGTAAGTTATGGCAATTATTCTAATAATTAAAATAGAGTGTAATTATGAGGGTTGGGTAATTATGATAGGGTTAAAGGGTTGGTAAACTACAAAAACCTCCCAAAACACACTGTAGAAAACCAAACCATGTAATTGTGATTGACTCACTTGGTATATCAATAAGAAAATTAAATAAATTCATAAATTCCGTGAAAGTGGCCACAACTAAATTATGTACTGGTACTGGTACAAATAGCCCTCTTTTCACAGACATTTGGCAGACATTGACTTAAGGTTGTCATTAGAAGGATACTGCTTTTTAGCGAACCAACAGCAACATTGTCATTATCATAGAGGAGAACAGTATAATGCAGTAAATTAATATGAAATGGGTTAAAATCGCACGGGTCGGATTCAAAATATTTAGTTGAATACCAGGGCCCTAGTGGCTCAATTCCGTATCATTTAACTGCTCTAAATTATTTACGTGAGATTACAGGTACTTACCAGTAGTGCCTTTGAGAAACATGGCCTCATATAAGCTACAGTGCATAACGTTTTAGCAGTATGCATAAACACAATAATAATGATAAGAAAACAAACTGTGGTCTTTTGATATTGCATGCAAAGAATAGTTTATAACTTTTCTTGTTAAATGAACTATAACGACCCAACAGAGGATCTACAATGTAGGTACAAAAGCTCAGCAGAAGAGTGATACAAAATGGGTGTGCGTTAAAAATGGCCCCAAATGACAGGTAGGTAAATATCATGGCCGGCGGAAGCGGGGGCCCGGGCCCCCCCCCCCCCCCCCCCCCCCCCCCCGACATAACAGGCCTATTTACTGTAATGAGAAAGTTTACCTTACCGTACCGTTTTCGATCATGAGGGGGAAACCTTGAATTTTGAAGAACAAAGTCATTAGACACCTAGCTCAAAAAGTCGAGAAAGGTCATTTCCCGCCATCTAGAAATCAAAATTTTCCCGGGGGAGGAATGTTGACCCCACCACCTAGATTTGATTCCAGATCTGCATGATTCATATTCCATAAGCAGTGGCGTAAAAGGCGGGGCCAGGGGGGGAAGACTGCCCCCCCTGACGGTTTTTACCGGGCTGACCAAGCCGTCGTACCGGGCTGGGTAAGAAGAGAAAAGAAAGAGGAGAGAGGGAGGGAAAGAGAAAGAAGGGGAAAGAAAAAGAAAGGGAAAAGGAAAAGAAAAGAGAAAAATAAAGACAAGAATTTGGTTTGCATGTTAATTCTAGAGGTCTTCGTTCTTGTCCTACCTTTAATGTCCCCTTTTGTAGAGTTGATATCTGTAAACGTAGTTTTATTTCTAGACTTTCTCTTCAATATAATTCTCTTATTTTAACCTCTAATATTGACATTTTTCACAATAGTTTGTCTATATTTCGTTCTATTATTATTAATCATTTGAATAGGTGAGATTTTTGTACTCTTTCGTCTATATATTTGATATACTGTATTTAAATTTTATATATTTTACCAGCCTGTTAGTGGCGATGATTCGCTGTTGGTCTGATGAAATGAAATAAAAATAAAAATAAAATAATAAAAAGGAAGATATAATGAACAGATATCACAATACCCCGGCCTGCAACCCCTTCTCCACTTCAAAAAGTGTCCATATCGCATTTGATCTAGGCCGCCAGGTATTCTCCGCAGTGGCGTAACCACCGGGGGACAAGGGGAAAATATCCATCTGTGAAAATCTTTCCCCATTGAATGCCCTTTTCACCCGGGAAAGTGCCTGAAAATCTCAAATTTTAAATCCAATGTTTTTTGAGGTAGGCCAATTTCCTCTAAAAATTGCACATTTTAGGGAGTTTTGATCAATTCCGACGAAATTAGAAAACAACTTTTTTTCGCGCGCTACGCGCGCATTTTTTAATCTTAAAGCTTGTGCTTCCTCTCATTTGCCTTATAAATTATAACACATAGTCCCAAACTCAAGAAAGAAAATTTAAGGATAGATCGTTTACAAAAGAAGGGCCTCAATGTGTAATGATGTTGAAAGAATATGTTTGTAATAAATAAATCCATAAGGAAAATGCTTATATTCATGAGTTTAAAAAAACGAGTGTGGCCATATATAACATAAGAGCATTTCTTGTTGAGGTAGGCCAATTTCCTCTAAAAAATTGCACATTTTAGGGAATTTTGATCAATTCCGACGAAATTAGAATTAAAAAAACAAAACATTTTTTTAATGTTAAAGCTTGTGCTTGCTCTCCTTTGCCTTCTAAGTTATTTAAAAACATAATAGTCCCAAACTTGAGAAAGAAAATTTTTAAGATAGATCGTTTTACCTAAAAGAAGGGCCTCAATGTGTAATGATGGTGAAAGAATAGGCCTATGATTGTAATAAATAAAACCACGATGAAAATGCTTATATTTAGTTTCAAACACACGTGTGTAATAATAAAATAAGCCCTATGTGGGGGGGGGGGGGTATCACACCAAGTCATAAATTACTAACCGAGAAAATTATTACCTTTGCCGCCACCCCCCTGACCCAAGACCCCTGTTACGCGCCTGCTTATAAGTGGGGCCCCCCCACTTTGAAAAACGTTCCGCCAGCCCTGAATATGGCCCCAACTATAAAATTAAGTACGGTAATAATAATGACTTTCTTCTTAAATAAATTTGTTTTAACTATTTAAATGCTCTAAAATAGCAGAAACGTAATTTTCAAAACTATATTAAATAACTGAGTACACTCTATTTTTCTATAGTTACCAGTATGTAAGTTATGGCAATTATTCTAATAATTAAAATAGAGTGTAATTATGAGGGTTGGGTAATTATGATAGGGTTAAAGGGTTGGTAAACTACAAAAACCTCCCAAAAAGCACTGTAGAAAACCAAACCATGTAATTGTGATTGACTCACTTGGTGTATCAATAAGAAAATTAAATAAATTCATAAATTCCGTGAAAGTGGCCACAACTAAATTATGTACTGATACTGGTACAAATAGCCGTCTTTTCACAGACATTTGGCAGACATTGACTTAAGGTTGTCATTAGAAGGATACTAGCGAACCAACAGCAACATTGTCATTATCATAGAGGAGAACAGTATAATGCAGTAAATTAATATGAAATGGGTTAAAATCAATGCAGTTAAAACGAGGTGGTTGTTACTTGAGTTTTCTTTTGAAGGCATCCCTGATAAAGTTTCCTTTATCTAAGTGGCTTTTCTTCACAACTCTGTGGAGAATAGATGGAATTTTTCTGCCTCTTTTCAGTGGTGTATCATGGAACCTGAGAATTTTGGTCGGATGATCGTTTTCTTTTCGTATCACATGACCAATCCAGTTATGTTGTTGTGTGTACACATATTCGTCTAGTGATTGTGTGCGTGTGATTTCGTATAGCTGTTCATTGGAAATCACGTAGCTCCAGTCAGTGTTGCTTCCATTGTAGGTATAAAAAAAATGCATGATTTATGTTAATTTATTGATTAAATTATTGTTATTTTTCAATACCGGTATTTAAATGGAAAATAAAATAAATATAAAAGAAATGTTATTCATAACTAATGTAATTTAATCTATGGATATGTAATAGTAAACAGGAAGTAAACAGGAGAATACAGAGTGGATGGAAAAACTGGAAAAAGAGTGTCCGGGGTGTTGTGCGATAAGAGAATACCACCAAAGAGTAAAAGGAAAAATATACTAAAGAGATGGTTGTGCAACCAGCCATGCTTTATGACATGGAAACACTACAACTACCGCTGGCCAGCCCTTTTGCTACCCGGCCTTTGCCACCCGGCTTTTTTCCACCCTAGGCCCGTTGCCACCCGGCCTTCTACCACGGCCTTTTGCCGCCCGGCCGGTTGCCACCCAGGCCCGTTGTCACCCGGCCTTATATTTACATTATGCTGAGTTATATTTTGCAGATTTGTAATGATATGGATGTATATATTTTGTATTTGAATGGTGAAGTTAGACCTAACTATACTGGAGTAGAAATTGTTTTAATTAAATTTCGTGTCCTGTTAAATATATAGGCCTACTTTGTATTCAATCCTTATAAAGAGGGCAATACTGTATGCCTAGTGTCCAGTTTTAGTATATTTTTACAATTAAAAAATACATTTATGACAATAATAGTTATTTATATATGTAACGGGTATAGACTATAACATAACAAAAACACACTATAACATACAGAGTCAGTACAACAATGTATATGTCAGAAAGTTTAAATGTTTATTCGGCAATTACCAATTCGAGACTCTTGCAAAAGCAGGCACTTATAATAGAAGATCTTATCTACGAGAATAGTTTACCATGTGGGTTTAAGCATTTAAGGTATAGAGGTAGGTGTGAAAAGGATTGACTGGACCCAGACTATGGTAAAGGTATATTAATTAAAACTAGAAAAAGAAAAACTGTTAGAACAAAGAATATTACATTAAAAAAAAGGTAATTAAAACAAGTAGACGTTCAGTCTGCTGGCTACATATAGTTTAACCACAAGCCTGTGTGTGTATAATAATGGTGGTTGTTACAAACATGATGATTAAATTAATTGAACTTTATGGCACTCATTTGATTTAAACTTATTCCTCTATGGTTTACGGGGCGGAACCCTGGTGGGGGCCCGAGTTCCAGCCATATAATTTTTTTGTGACAATATACACGCATCCGCACGCGACTATATAGATTCTACTAAGGGCGTGGTTGGCTGTTTTCAAAATTTCTTCTTTTAAATACATTTTCCC